ATAAAATTATATTATAATATTCCTCCGAATTTAAAAATAAATTAATATCCATAACTTTCAAAATTAAAAATAATTAAATAAATAACAACAATTTTGCAAAAACATTAAAGAACATAAGAATATTATTCAATAAAATTTTAGGTTACTTTGAATTTTCGATTTCCTAGAAATGTACTTTTAAATCGTTACTTTTTTTGTTTAGTACTTGTACTTTTACTTGTACTTTTTACTCGTTACTTTTTAAACTAAGAACTTTTTACTTTTTACTCGTTACTTTTTTTAAAAGTACTTGTACTTTTACTCGTTACTTTTTAAAAGTAACGTTGCCATATATGTATATATACCAATACAGGTTTGGATGCTTTTTATTTAAAAAATGAATTCGCATATTAAGCTTCATCTCAAAAATACAGATTTTTTTTAGTTTATATGAAAAAAATAAATAATAAAACATGAGAAAATGTGATAATGAACATTAATATTTACTCAGTTTTGTTCATTTGCTTCATTCCAACAAATCGCATTCATTTATTCTTTTTATCACGAATCTTTTAAAAATTTGTTCCGTTAAAAACGTTAATTAACCGTATGCTTTTTGTTCTATGAAAAACCCTTTCCGAACGATAATTTAAATAAAAAGGTTATTTAGTTTAATTTTTTATTCCCCTATGAAGTAAGTTTAAGTTGCGGCCAATGAAACTAGATCTCTATTGGAAAATTTTATTAATTTCTAACTTCATGTCTGCGAGTTATATTAAATCATTTGAAATCAGAAATGAATAATTATGAAGTTTTTTCTTAAAAAGACCAGAATTATGTGCAATTTTCATCCGACATTTTTTATAATCAGATACAGATGTAAAAATAAATTTCGAATATATTTAAAAATTTCAAAACAATTATGCTACGAGAAAAATATAGGGCAAAATTATGATAATTGCTTCATACTGTTCCGTTACATTTAAAAAATGCATTTTAAATTTATCCTCTGCTTCAATTCTGTTGCAAAAACCTTTCTTAAATACTTAAAAATATCAACTAAAGAAAATATTAATAATTTCAATGGTAATATAGTTTAGTTTAACAATTTCTTAAAATTGCAGAAATGGTTCAAGTTTCCATTATAACGGATCAAGGTTTAACCGTTTTTTTTCTGCGAGTGTTCCCTGCTAAAAATTTAAATGATACAAAATGATTATGATTCGAGAACATTATTTTTTATCTTAGGTTTCCTAGCAATATTATTTCATAAATAATTCATTTACATAATTTTCATATCACATTATTCAGTCCGACCAGACGGCGAGTATAATAGCCTTGAATTTAGAATATCTGGAGCACGATCTCTCTGACTCATATAATAGAATCAGAATGTGAATAACAGCATCTTTCTTTTTTTATTTTTTATAATCCATTAATGGTCAATGAATGAGCCTCAAATTGGATAAGGCAGAACATTTTTTAACATGAGATGAATGATTTCCCAAATTTCGAAATTTGACCTTTTTCTTTAGAATCGTTTTTGACATCTTCCTCTCGTAGGATTTTTGAATTTTTGTTTTACTGTTATATTTTCAGTAGTTTCTTAATGCTATTAAAGTATCACAATTTCATGCCATTAGAATGTCTTTTTATTTTGAATCAATGTGTCGCATGAATTGTTTTACATTTTTCTTCCACAATTAAAGCGAAACGGAATATACCAGCACTCATAAAAGATCTAATTACATATGCGTAGCTGTGAAGCCTCATTTCTGAATGATCTTGTTCATGAGGAAGGAAAATTAAAAATTTACATTTTTCTTTTATAATTAGAACGAGAAACAATTAAAAGTAAACAGAATCTTTTAATGTACAAACCAGCAGTGAAAATCTGATTACATGCTTTGCAGTGAAGTCGAATTTATTTATCTTGTTCATGAGAAGAAAAATTTCTTGCGCGATAAAATGAGTTTTTACTTTTGGAAGAAAATATAATGGATGCAAAGAATTAGCCTTCATGTCACAAATATTTATTTTTACTATTTAGAACTTGATTAAAATAAACTAAATGGTATTCTTCAGTTTTTATCATCATTGACCATTTTAATAAACCCTGAGTTCTATAGTTTTTTTAAGCGCTTAAATTTAAAAACGAAAATATTTTTCCTAGTATTATTCGAGAAGGCTATTTTATACATTTTAGAAGTCTATACATTGAAAAGGAATAAAAATATTTTATACAAATTATATTTGTATTTTTTTGTTTTGTTTATTATCTTTGTTTGTTTATTGCTAAGAGTTAAAAAGAAATTAGAACATTTGTCATATTGATGTCAGATGTTACTTTTTGTGATAAAATTTATTTATTTATTATAAAAAAATTATCATAAAATTTACTTGGATTCAAGAGCAAGTGAAAGATGAAAAATTAAATGCTTGCTATTAAAGTTTATAATTAATGTACAAAATAACGATAATAAAACAAAAATTGCCTGCATTTTTTCTGAACTAATTTTTTATGCATATTTAAACGTAAAAGTTTTATGCATATTTAAACGTAAAGTTCTAATATAAAGGTACTGTTAAAAATTTTAGAGGGAAAAAATTATTAAATAACAATTTGTTTAATTGTTATCTTACAATAATCAAACAAAACAGTCAAATAACCATAAATAAGTTGGTATTCAAGCTGTTAACTGTGCGAAAAACCGTTAATTAGCTGCTTTCACCTAATACGGTTAAACCAGAATTTTATTGCACCAACTAGGTTCACCTAATGAAGCCACTTGATTCCTTGCAGCCTGGTACATGATAGCCTATTGGGCTGATCCAGTGTTTCCCAAAGTGTGGTACGCGTACCGCTAGGGGTACGGGAACAGTTTAGAGGGGGTGCTCGTTCTTATGCGAAATATCTTGCAACAAACGAAAATGTAAAATTTTTTTATTTAGAAGCAAAGCTAGCCATGAAAATTTACGATTACGTGTTTTTCTATTGGCTATTTTTTGCAGAGTTAACAGTTAATAATTGGTGGTGTCAACAGCCAGTTGCGATTTTTAACTTTTGTGCAATTTTTTTATAGTAAAAAATTAATTCATTTTTTTTACTAGTGGTACTCAGCGTTACGAAAAAATTTAGAAAGGGTATACAAAAGTCATAAGTTTGGGAAACACTGGGCTAATCTGTGAGTCTCATAACCGACAGAGTTTTGTGTTACAGTGCTGCCACCCCAATATTTCCTTTTGATAAATTACAACCAACTCTAATGCCCATTACCTAACGAAAATCATAGCTCGAATGCTCAGTTAATTTTTTTTAACACTTTTAAAGAAAACATATCAGTTGTAAATGGTTAAAAAACCGTATAGTTTTGTACTATATCTTACAACTTATATGGTTACCGTATAGTAGCCATAGAAGTTGTGAACGGTTTCAAAACCGTAAAAATAAAAAATGTTCTTTTCCGTAAACTTTACGGTTAATGGGATGGATGGATTGCTGGGAGTTGTTTAATCATAATTTTAGAATGAAAATTCCATAAGTGTATATACATGCTATAGTAATTTAAGTTTTTCTTTAAATCGTCGTGGAACGTATTTTAGCATAATAGATTATACGATTTTAGCTAATAGTCCGTAATAGGGAGCACATAGTTCAAAAATCTTGTCAATGAACTTTTTAAAACTTTATGTTGATCTTGTCTAATTAACTTTTGTTTAATTAACGTTAAGTTATCGAATTAACTAAAATACGGAATAAACTTCAAAAATATCTATACATTAACATGCATACATTATTATCGATTTAAATACGATATTATTTTATATCATCTGTTAATTTACACATTTTATAACATCATTACGAGCTCTTAACACAGTTGATTCAAAAATATATTTTTATTATACTTACTTCAAAATTTGCATTATATATGAACAACATTCTTTTTATCGCGAAAAATTAATTTATTAATTGTAGGCTTCTTTATTTATTTTACGATATAATTGATTTTTAATTATTTTTTTAAAAAGTCATTTTAAAACTATTAACAATTACTGAAGTATTTTCGAATGAAAAACCTCTTTTACTCAAAACCTATGTTTATATTACATGAATTGTTCCACACAAAATTTCTAA